ACCTCGCCTAAGGTCCGACGAAGCCACAAAGGGGCCCGAAAAGTGGATTGGAGCTAGAGTTCCTCGTAAGGCTGGCCATGGTCGAGCTTAGATCATGGTGCCGCACGGTTGAAAAATGTACGACCGTGACACATKGYGCTACACTATTAAAAAACTCAAAAGAACTTCGGAGGGATGCTCTAGGGCAGTGCTGCAACGTTGTCTCCTCAGGTTTTCGGACTTGATTAAGTGTTGTGATGTCTTTTTTATTTGCTCGAACTTTGATTTACTCTCGTTTTAATCTAATTATGTTTTGTTTCCTCCCAATACTTCATTATTGCAAAATATATTCGTGTGTAAATCTATCATAAATAATTTGAAAGCTAACAAATAATCTACTTATAAATCTCATGAAATATAGCCTCCATAGTGCACTATTAGAAATGAAGAGAACATGGATCGCACTTTTTGCACTGCCCTCTTGCACATAAAGGGTGGGCGTTCATTTCTTCCTGATTGGGTCTTTCGGTTTGTTTGTCTAATAGGATTGATGACTAATACTGTTGGGAAGTATTGCCTTGCGTACTTCAAAGGAATGTGAGCTTGCCTTGCTTTTCTTCCTTCATGATTTAAATTTTGTTYAAACCCACGGGACCTTTCATTTTACATTACTCCTTGAACCTTTCCAACTTCTGTTCCAGTATTTGTACGCAAGGCAAGCTTACATTGCTCTGTCTCATAGTTGGGATAGGATATTTTTGAAGTACGCAAGGCAAGCATACATCCTTTCCAACAGGAGCTCTCAGCCTCCTAATACTTAAAAGGGACAAACCTTACATTGCTCCGTCTCATAGTTGTTCTTTTACATGTGATAGGATTATTTTTTAAACGAGAGGAGCAACAGAATCTTTGTGGGTGAGGAAATCACCCCTTGCCTATGGGATAGGATATTTTTTGTGGCTGTCACTTGATGCAAGCTTAGAATTTCTTAATGTAATTATAGTTTAACAACTCCTTACACTAATTGGTGATCATTTATTCATTATTCTAATTCTGTTTGGCTGGAGTTCCCTCCTTCCCCCATATATAGGCTCGAAGGAAGTTAGTAGGTTGATGTCAACTCATGCTCCTTAAATTGTTTTGTATGTTTATTTTTTTTCTCCATTTCTAGTTGTTTTGGATAGTAGATGATTATGTAGCTTGATATACTCATCTGTTTTGTGTGACTGAGTCCAACACTGAATCATATTGATTTTTTATGCCTAAAAATCTTGTTCTAATTGAATGGAGACAGGTATCACGCATTCTGTGTTGATTTTGAKCCTGAAGACACTTCCGAAAGTACATGGTTATGCCCAAGGTTAGTTGGAGAAACTGTTATTTCATTGGTTGTTCTGCTAGATGTAGTTTCCATCGTTGAATGCAGATTCATTGATCTAATCCTTTATGTTTTCTAMATTRTAATTATTGGCATAACTTAAATTGATTTTCGTGTATACAGTAAAAGTCAGAAACTGCTATAAATGTAATAACAATAATTGAGCAGGAAAAGTTTTTTTGAGGTTTTATCTGCTAGGTTCACAATTCCCCTGGCTTCTGAAGTGTTTTTTTGGCCTTGTGTTTAAATATTTGATGTAGTTTCCCCTGGCTTCAGAAAAAAGTTAAAACTCTGTTGAATAGTCCACTAAAATRGACCAATTAATGCAGTTCGTACAAGTTCCAATTTATATTCTTCAAACCTGAAGCAGATTTAGCCTTTCCTGTAGTCCTSTGTCTGTCTCTTCAGTATTTGGTTTTAACATYCGTATTATGGTTCTGCTGCAGATGTAAGGCTAATGATCAGGAAAGTTCCATCAACGATTCTGTTCCATTGTTTAATAGCCACTATGATTCAACAAATGATTTGGTTGCTCAAGGTTTTTCCAGAAAGGTGTCGGTATCAGTTGCTGATACTGGAGAGACAGCATTGGTTGTCTCAATGATTGGAGGAAATCAGGTTGACGAAGAACAAACTGATAACATCCCATCAACTGGTGAAATTGAAAATATTTACAAAATTGAAAATTTCATTTTGGCTTCAGAAGCTGGTGGGCCAAATGTCTCAGCATCATTATTGGAGAATAATGCTGTTCTACCGACCCTATCAATGGAGAATAATTCTGTTCTTCCAGTACTTGGGGCCAAAGAATTGGAACTTTCTCTGTCACGTGATACTTCCATCAGTTTGCCTCATGATTCCTGTAGACACGTTGGGTTGAAAACAAGTTGTGCTGATGAAATTATGGCCGAGTCAAGTAGCCTTGAAAGCACCAGAAGTGCTTCAAATATATCTCACGCTATAAACAAAATGTCAAACGATGAATTTAGTATGGGTCTTCATCTTGGTTTACCTGTGGGCTCATTCTTGTCTGGTATTTTTCCATCTAAAGATCGATAGCGAAAGGAAATTTATCTCTTTGTTCAGGCATAGCTCATTATCATTATTTTTAATGCATTTTTAGTTGATTGCGTGAACGATGGAAACAACGATCAAGGTGCTGATGTTAAGCAGCAGTTGTTTCCTTCAGAAGAACACTTGTTACTAGGTGCGGAAGTATTTTCTCTGTTGCATTTAGGAATTATTGCAAATCCAGAGAAAAGTTAATTTGTTGTTCTTTTTTAAGTAGTTATTGGAAATTAGGAAGTAGCTCATATGCATTTCTATACTCACTTATTGCTGGATATTTTCAGCTGATAATGTYGCATCACACACCACCCAGGAAGCTTCTGTAATTACTGGCGTAAAGAGGAAACGCACGGATTGCAGGTTAATTCCTTTCAACTATCAAACATGTAAATAGGGTTCTTTTTTGTTAAATATTTCATTTCATGAGTGAAGTATATGTTTCCTTAATATATTTTTTTTTCAAAGAACTATCATCAGACAATTTTAAATCAGTTTTCAGCTATTGGCTCCTGGAAATGTGTTATCATCTGATAACAGTTCTCTACCTTTTCTTGTCTTGCCTATTGGTGTAAATACTGCTTTGTTCTCTGTCTTGTCTTCATGATAGATTTTCTTTATTTACATGGTGGGAAAAGAAAAGCCCTCTGCCATAGTGCTGTTATACATTAAGGCTGCGTGACTGTTGTGATTGGCTGTTAATCTTATTCAGAAAAGCTGTTAGGCATAGGAAGATAAGAAAAAAATTAAAAACTATGATCTTATGGATCAATGTCTCCATTTTTTTTTAATACAACGACAAGTGGAAGTGGGGATTTGAATTTATGACCTTTTAGTTGAAGATAGGTGAGATCAACACCTCCCTTGATCCTTCCTTTGGTGTCTAGTTTTGTATTTATCTTTGTCCTCAACAATTGGAGCTCTTTTAGGTATATATTTTTTTCTTTTTAGTATTAAATTATTATTCAAGTATATTCTTTCATTTCATTTTCTCTGTGAAAGTGATTTCTCTAAAAAAGAAAAAACATTTCTTTTGTCCTTATATTCAAAACTGTCGACTAGGCTTTGTTTGTTTGTTATTTTTTTAATAATAGTAATTATTATTTGTTTCTAAATTTTTTTAAAGAATCGTTGCTTTTATTAGGATAAAAGAAACTACAAATTGTGAAGTCATGTGCAATTAAAAAAAGAGGTGGGGGTGGGAGTGCACCATTGACACGAACAAAAATGGAGTGGGGATGGTATTTACAAGGACATTTTCTAGATTTTTGAGCAAGAGAAATGGCAGAAAATTCATGAAAATATTGATGCGCACTGGGAGACTATTTTTTTTTTTCCTTCTTTTGTTGTTGTGAGAAAGATTTTATTATCAAATGCAACTAATACAAAAAAGGGGAAAAGCAATCTCCTATAAGCCCAAGGTTACAAAAGAGAATCCTGATTGCAGTGATTGGCAGTAATATTCACAAAGTTGTAATCACAAAACTCTTTAGAGAGAAGGCACCATGTAGAAGTAAAAATGTAGACAAGATCCCAAAAGTCGTCAAATGTCGTTTCAATGCCTTTAAGACTCGTTAATTCCTTGGTCTCCAAAGGGTAGCTGAAACCACACTGCTTTATAGAGCCAATACTTTTCTTTTAAAAGAAGAACAAACAAGAAGCTGCAGCAAAGCATCCTTACAACCCTTGGGAAACACCAAATTAAGCCAAAAATCATGCACCAGTTTGGAGAAATCAACATGTTAGGCCACTTCTTTTGAATCCTATCACAAGTATTCAGCTTCTCTTGACTAAGGATCCAAAGAAAAACTTTTACCTTCTTGTGGTCCTTAGCTTTCCAAGTGTTGTTGATCAAATCTGAAGGGATATTATTACACTGATTGGTAATTTTAGAGGTCAAGGAACTAACTGAGGAATCACCACAACTACTCAAGCTCTAAACTGTGTGCTTTGCTACTATTCGGTTCGAGCTAGGTGAGATGCTGTTGAAGTCTGACCCATTCTTCAATTTCTCCTTCAATAATGGAGTGATACAGGATTAAATTCGCCATAACCCAATGATTTAAGCTTTTGGGTTTAATGATGATTTAACATGGTATCAGAGGAGGAGGTCTTGTGTTCGAACTCCTAAAATACCTTTCCTTCCTAATTAATATTGATAACCATTTGTTGAGTATTTTGCAAATTTTTAAGCCCACAAGTGAGAGGAGTATTAAAGTGTTGATAAATGAATAAATTTGCTYGAACCCATCAGCTTAGGATTTTGGATTCAGTGGTGAGGTGATTGGTGATTTCATAGTTAAATTTCTTTTTGGCATCAGCTTTCTCAAATGAGATTCTGCCACATTTGCTGAATTGTGGCATTTTTGGAGCGATAACTCATAGMTTCTTTGAAAGACATTACAAAATGGCTCACATCTTGCCCGACCATCATTCTAGAAGAGGACTTTTTCTCCATTCCACAATTTGCATTTATACCCCTGCAACACTTGGCAATAGCAATCCAAGGGCCTCTATAGCGAATTTGAACAGTACACATAGGAATCCAATGATCATGTCTGCCTTCCTATTTGCTAGCTGTCACCTTCCTCCATTAGAAATTTTGTTCTCTCATGTATCTCCAGCCCCACTTTGCTAGAAGACTAGTGTTTCTAGCCTCCAAATTTCCCACACCCAAACCTCCTTTGCTCACTGGCTTTTAAGTGATCTTCCAACTCACTAGATTTGAACCCGTCCTTGTCCTTTCCTTTCCAGAGGAAGTTTCTCATGTGCTTTTCTAGCCTTTTAAATATAGACTTGGGGCATTGAAAGATCTAATTGGGTTCGTTAATGAACATTTTGAATCCAACTCTACAATTTGGGTGGCAAGTTTATAAATGATTACATTCAGGTGATGGATTCTTTCTCAGTGATTTGAGTTTCAATTGATCGGATTCTTTTGTCATATTGGTTTTAGAATACCCCTCCTATTCAATTGCCTAAGGCTCTTCAGGCTGTCTGCCTGAGACTCCTCGGGGAGAAGGTAAATGAATGTCTCAATAATGGTAGTATCAAATTATCCCTCTTATCAAAGAATTTTTTAAAAACCTTCCCCCTTATTTTCTTCCCTTTTTATTTTGGAAAACAAAATTTCATTTACAAATGAGATATACAAAATGGAAAAAAGAGATGGGCATCCTATGGAACAACGAGGTGACAGAATCCATGGATAAAGACATGAAAAATTTACTGCTGCTACAATCATTGGGCATCCTACGGAACAAGGAGGTGACAGAATCTCAACCTCAACCCACTTACTTTCTGACCAACTAGCTTCTGCACCAGTAGCTCATATTCACAGTATATCCTGAACCTTCCATCTGTCAATGACAAAGAAAGCTCACCCTTCCAAACCAAAAATTAAGTGCCAACAGCCTATTGAGAAGGTCAGCTTAACAATAAGCCTTCCATCTCCAGAAGTACTCTTGTTTAACCCCAGATGTTTTATCGTTGATGAACTGTGTTTCRACTGCAATATTTGACAAATGCTCATTCTGGGTGATTAAATTAAAATCTGCTTGTCTTGAATTGGATGTACATGCTTCTTTGATTCATTTCCTACCAGTTCCATTTAGAATAAATTAAAATCTTATAATTGGTTGTCATAATGGTTCCTGAAATTCCTCAGTGATCACGTTCAGAAGACTGGTGATAATGGAGATAATGGACCCAATTCTGATATAAAAGTTACTACCACAAAACTTGCTCAGGGGAAGAATCAACCAGTTCTTTCTAAAAATGATGCTGATCAAACGAAGCAAGATGATACAAAAAGTTTGGCTATGCCATTAGTTCGTAAGGAAGCCAGCTTGAAACGAAGATCAGTAAAGCAAGATATCAAAGTTGATATAATGAGTATAGTTCGTGGCCGAAACCGCAGGCTTCCTCCCAAAGGCCTTGCAAGCTCAAATTCTAATGATGAAGTGTCAGATCAGCGAGAAAATCTGACTGGTTTAAGAGTCAAAAAGATCATGAGGAGAGCCGGTGAGGACCAGGAATCATCCATGCTAGTTCAGAAACTAAGAAATGAAATAAGAGAAGCAGTCCGCAACAAATGTTCAAMAGATTTTGGGGAAAACCTTTTGGATTCAAAGCTTCTTGATGCTTTCAGGGCTGCAGTATCAGGCCCTAAAACTGAATCCCAGAAAAGATTATCAGCTTTGGCTATTAAGGCAAAAAAGTCATTATTGCAAAAAGGGAAAATCCGAGAAAGTCTGACAAAGAAAATATATGGGGCTACTAATGGAAGAAGAAAGCGTGCATGGGACAGAGACTGTGAAATTGAATTCTGGAAGCATCGTTGCATAAGAGCGAGAAAGCCCGAAAAGATTGCAACTTTGAAATCTGTCCTTAACCTCTTAAGAAATAGTTCACAGAGCCCAGATGCAAAACACGGTTCTGAATGTCAGCCTGCAAATCCAATTCTTTCTCGATTGTATGTAGCAGATACATCTGTCTTCCCACGGAATGACAACATCAAGCCTCTGTCGGCTCTCAAATCTTCCTCTTCTTTGGAGCAGAAGAAAGATCCACCCACAGGGACTAGCAAGGTTTCATCAAAGGCTGGAATTCCTCTGGCAGCAAATGCGGGGAGTAATTGTTCTATATCTGCCCCAAAGAGTGCTGCAGGTTCTGGTAAAGGAAATCATAGTGGGAACTTAGAAGCATCAGTTGGTTCTAAACTTAAACCACAGAGTACAGTTTCTTCTACATCTAATAATGCAATTGATAAAAGAAAATGGGCCCTAGAAGTTCTTGCTAGGAAAACTGGTGATGGCTGCAGTGTAGCAAATAAAAAGGAGGAAGACATGGCTGTACTTAAAGGAAATTATCCTTTGCTAGTATGTAATGTTTTGGTTTTTTCATGCRGAATTTTATATTTAATCTTTTACGTCTGAATTTGAAATATATGATCTTGCTTTGTTTCTATAAACAGGCTCAGCTACCAATAGATATGAGACCAAAATTGGCACCCAGTCGCCATAACAAAATTCCCGTATCAGTAAGGCAGGTATGCTACATTTTGTGCTTTGACATTATAACTTTCTTGTTTGAACTCCTCTTCAACAATTGTTTTGTTTACAAAGTTTAGAAATGAGTTTCCTCCCTCTTTGTGTGTACTTGGAAAGAGTTTCCCGAATGCCATATTGACCATGAGGAAAAAAATTATTTAAAAAACGAGAGCTCTTGATCACATTTGGAAAATATCATCGTGGTTAATAAGTTCACTTGTTTTAGGATTGGACCCTCGTGTGAAGCTATTTACTTCTAAATCCACAATTCAGTCGCTATGTTGCTAATAGTTCTTGAATATTGTTTAAATGTGCGTGGCAATTTCAGTTGAGCACTTCGTTCAAGAACCGCTTGTTGATTTCAATATATTTATCCATTTAACGCATCGGATGGTGGTTAACAGTTTCTACGTGTTTTGAAGTTGGTCAAATGCCTCAAGCTGGTCGTTTATTTTCATTCCTTGTGTTGTGACATTTGTACAGGCACAGCTTTACCGTCTGACAGAGCAGTTCCTGAAGAAAACAAATTTGGAAGTTATGCGCAGAACTGCCGAGACAGAGTTGTCAATTGCAGATGCCGTTAATATCGAAAAGGAGGTTGCCGATAGGTCAAACAGCAAACTCGTGTATCTTAATCTATGTTCCCAGGAGATATTGCATCGTATAGACAMTAGCACATTAAATACGACAGCAGATTTGGATTCCTCATCCCTGTCAAATAATCCCACCCATGGATCTGAACTGGCCACTGATCCAGAAACAGATCCTGTTGTTGAAGAAGCACTGAGAAATGCTGGTCTATTATCTGATTCGCCCGTGAATAGCCCGGCAGACACGACCAATGTCAATGATGATGACGATGACCCTATGAAAGAGTTACAAGATGAAGAACCTGAAAACGTGATTGAAATGGATGGCCATCCAGATTTGGATATATATGGTGATTTTGAGTATGATCTGGAGGAAGAAAGCTGCTTCACCACTAACGATACCAAGGTTCTGAAACCACCAGATGAAGGTGAGACAAAAATGAAAGTTGTTCTATCCACCTTCAACTCTGAAAGTTCGATTCATRCATCCGAGGCTGAGAAGTCTGAGAGGTTGGAGAATGTTGAGCTACTGAAGGATGCTTCTTGCTCGCCAAAAAACCAAACTGATGTGGAGATTGGAACTGCCGCTTTGGAGGGTGAGATGGAAGGGTCTGTTGCTGTTCCTCCAATTAGTAAAGAAGTTGAAGAACCTTCCTTGGCCGAATATGAAGAGCTATATGGACCTGACACAGATCTAGACGTTAAGAAACTTCCTAGTCCTTGTGTTGTACCTACTTCAGAACTTTCGTCTGAGCAGAAAGATTCTTGTAATGATGAAAATTCTCTGCCAATCCAAGGTGGAAAAGAATCAGACTTAAAATGTGAGGAGAGGGTAAACAGAGMAGCTGTCATCACCGGTTGTCCCGACCCCCCTGGTGGAGAATGTTCTCCCCATAGGAAGGAGAAGTCCAGTTCCAATGATAATAAGCAGTCTGATAGCATCAACTCTATAGCTAAGAAGGTAGATTTTCTTCATAATTTACCCCACCCCCAAGCTCTCTCCCATTTTTTASATTGAACTGATCTAATTAATCTTTAACACTTCAACATGACAACCTCTGGAGAATAAACTCAATGTAGGTCGAAACATATATCAAGGAACACGTCAGACCGCTGTGCAAGAGCGGGGTCATAACGCCCGAACAATACAGATGGGCAGTCCAGAAAACCACTGAGAAGGTTATGAAGTACCATTCGAAGGATAAGAATGCAAATTTTCTTATCAAGGAGGGTGAAAAGGTGAAGAAGCTTGCAGAACAGTATGTAGAGGCAGCACAGAGGAAGGGCATTGATTAATATCGACCACCATGGCATTTCTCGAGTTGTAGAAGCTTCGAGCATGTTGTCGAAAGGGTGGTTTATGATCCTTGCAACAAATAGGAGTTACATATTTGGTAAGCAACTATGTTTCTCGTTGAGTATTAGTTCTGTCCACTTATTCACAAATTGAAGCACTATGTTTCCTAAAGGCTATAGAATAAATGAAAGTGTAAATTTGTGTCTGAACAGAGACGAGAAACTTTTGGGAGTAGCCTCTTTATTATGGTTGATTTCCCATAATGTTTAAACGCATTGTTTCAAAAGCATTCTTTTGGTGGCAAGATATATATATATATATATATATATATATATATATATTAGTCTCTTAGTCCCCCTTTTTTTTTTCTTTCATTTTTTAACCTAATCCCTATTGTTTAATAATTTTTAATTTAGTTCTTTATATACTTTTCAATTATACTTTACCGTTTATTTAGTATTTCTATAAAAATTTAGAACCCGTTTTGTAATGTTCATGTTTCTAATTCTATAAAAAAAAATCTAAGCATTTGACAACCGTTTATGTTTTTAGAAACATTCTCAAAATTCTCAAAATTGTATAGGAGTGATAACACAAAAATGTTTTTTCTTGTTTCGTTTCTGGTTCTTGTTTTCAATTTGTTCTAACCTAAATAAAAATCTTGTTATATCATTATAAAATCCATACTCATGAGGTGTGACTCATGAGTCGATATTTTTATAGTATCAAATAAAATTGACAAAATATATAAAATATTAACAAAATATCACTAGATGGGAATAATATTAATATTAATAATTTTAAATTTATTAAAAAAGGTGAAATGTTTATTTGTTAATTTAAATATTTGTTATTAATTTGTTATTTTTATAATTTTACCAAAAATATTAATCGTCAATATTTTATCGATATTTCTATCTACATTTTTCATGAAAGTGAGATATTGACMTTGCATATAAGTTTAAGACATTCACATCAGAGCTATATTTGAAAGTTTTTAGAAGTTTTAAGTTTAATGGACAACTTTTAAAGTTGTCGTTTAACTTACTTTTTATTTTCAAAAGATAAACATTTTTACTCACAATTAAAACTTTTTTTTAGGAAGAATCAATTTGAAAAATAGCAATAAAAAGATWTTTTTTTTTCTTTTCTCTTGAGTACTAATAAAAATAAGTATTCTTATTGATACTAGAAATCTTTTAACACAAATTAGCACTCCAACCTAATTTTAAAGATGTCACATGTCAAGTTATAAAATTTATATATAATACTACAAATATATTGGAAGGAACAATCAGTCAGTTTTCTATCTTAATTTTTTTATTTCATCAATTTAAATTCTAAATTTGAATAAGGGTGACAAATTAATACCTCTTCAAAGCTATAAATCATACCAAATATAATTAACAAAATAGTCAATATCATGTCAAAGAAATGTCCAAATTCAATTAAAAAATAATCGATAAGCAAATAAAAAAGTGCTCGAATTTTAGCAATAAAACAACCAGATCCAATGCAATTAGAAAGAACACTATAATTTATTATAGTTAGAATTAATTCATAGTGGTAAGTTTATGTGACATGAGAAATTGATACAAGTTCTCTATTAGTGGATGTCAAGTATGACTAATGATAAGTTTACATGACATAATATTTAGTAAGTTGATATAAACTGACGCTCACCTAAAAGAGAAAAATTTCGAATTCGYCTTCCAAATTTTTTAAAAATTGACAGAAATCTCAATTATTCCTATAACTTATTTTTTTAGTTCAAAAAAACATACATAAGACGATGATTCAAACCTTCAACATTTTGTCGATGGTATATAACTTAACTAGTTAAGTTATGCTTTCCTGTTAATTTACTATCAACTCTATTTAATCACTAACATAAATGATATAATTAAAAAAAAAATGTAGGAGACTAAATTAAAATTGGTAAGGATTAAATCAAGAAAGCACCCGAATAACATGTACAAAAACATATATTTAACCATTAATTTTCAACCTCAAAATCAGCTTCATTGATGTTTATATTTTGATCTTTCTATTAAAGATTTTACTTTGAAAAGAAAATCCACCTTAGCGTTGAAATTGATTCCATGAAAATCACTTTTTTTTTATTATTATTATTTATTTTAATTTTCTTTTCATGTTCTTACAAATCATTTGATTCTGAATTAACATTAAAAGAAAAAGAAAAAAGAAAAGCCCCGAATAGAACGGCCTTTAATGGCAGAAAGTAGTTTCTGCTAGTTGAGGAGTTGGGAGAGAAATGAAATAGCCACAAAATTCCATGGCGCATCAATTTCCATGCTCCCTCGCTCGCTCCCCATTACTGTTCTTTCTCCCTCTCTCTCATCTTCGATTCGACGTTCACTCTTTCATCAACAGAACAATCTCGCCCCTGTTTCTAGTCTAACATGGAGAATTCACGAGATGATCTGTTATACATCGGATACCGGACTAAGAAGAGGACCAGAAATGGCAAGAAGGACCACGACCATGGCGACACCAATCGGAACAACTGCATTAAGAAGAGGACGAGTTTGTATGACTTCTTCTGCTCTTTGCTCTTTTCCCTCTCTTGCCTTGTCTGCTTGTTGTACTCCGACCTCGCCCTTGGCTATGGCGATGCTGCTACAGGTACAATCCTCCATCTTCACTTCCTTCCATTTATTTTGCTTTTCGTTTTCATTATCGTGACAATACTATACTCCCTTTCTGATGCGCTTTGAGGAATAGGGTACTATTTACTTGATTATTTTGACGCTGTTGGATTGGATTCTTGGCTATGGTGTTTTATTGGTAATATAATTTCGTTTTCCGTTCTGTTTTCTGTGCAAATCTATCGTTGTTAAGGAGATGGTTTGAATTTCTACCTGTCTTAAATAAAAAACAAAATTACTTATATGCAATTTGTCGTATCTTTTAATCAGATTAATTGATTCCTTATCGTATAATATTTGTTTTAGATTGGTCTATCTGGGTACTGCTTTGTTCAGAAATTCTATAGTTTGATAATTACAGCAGTAGTTGTTCGCTCTTCGAGTTTTTCAAAGGTTGTTTCCTTGTACTTTTACCTTAGATTAGGTTACAATGACTGAAGTTATGTTTTCCAGGAGATTTTTCTTCTGTAAACATAAGCACCTTTTGCCCTAGTCCTGGAGAACAGAAGCTGGATGGTCGTGCCTATTCATCCATAGAAAATGGAAGCAATAATATGAACTACAGATCATCTTTCGAGCTTAATGTGTCGATGAACTGTAATGAGTCCTATGTTCATCACAACTATGCAAATTCTAATTACTCACTTCCAGAGTCAAAGGCATTTGAAGAAGCTGTATTGAGTGCTCTAGGATATGCATCTTTGATGTGTGAAATACAACAGCCAGAGAAGAAAGCAAACTCAGCAGAACATCAGGAAGGTCCTAGTGGCAGAAGCTCTCACCCCACATATCTTAATCTTGATGAATTCCGCAACATAACGATGAAAGATAAAGGAGGCAAAATGCCCAATCAGTTAGTTAATATCTCTCATCGGCTTGAACCCGATGGATCGGACTACAACTATGCATCTGCATCTAAGGGCTCAAAGGTGGTTGCTCATAACAAGGAAGCAAAAGGAGCATCTAATATATTGGGGAAAGACCATGATAAGTACCTGAGGAACCCTTGTTCTGTAGGAGGGAAGTATGTCGTGATTGAGCTCTCGGAAGAGACCTTAGTTGATGCTGTGAAAATTGCAAATTTTGAACATTATTCTTCTAATTTCAAGGAATTCAATTTGTCTGGCAGTTTGAGCTATCCAACTGAGACATGGTCTAAATTGGGAAACTTTGTTGCTGCTAATGTAAAACATGCTCAAGTCTTCAAGCTACCTGAACCAAAATGGGTTAGGTACTTAAAGCTGGATGTGCTTAGTCATTATGGATCAGAGTTTTACTGCACATTGAGTATAGTAGAGGTTTATGGTGTTGATGTCATGGAGAGGATGCTTGAAGATCTCATTGTCACCTCTTCAGAAGCTACTCCCAAGAAATTTTCACAAGAAGAGCCCAATTCAACTGTGTCGCCTTCTCTAAAATCAGATGTTGGTCCAGTTAATGAGATAGTAAATAATGAAAATAACTTGCCAACTGCTGGTGCACGAACAGAAAGCACAGATGATCCCTCGAGTCTTGCTCTAGAGGTCGCAAAAAATCTAGTGAATGTTAACAAGTTTCCTGATCCTGTATTTGAAGCTAGACAGCAGCTGAACGGTAGAATACCTGGTGACAGTGTCCTGAAGATCCTGATGCAGAAGGTGAGGTCACTTGAGACTAATTTGTCTGTGCTAGAGGAGTATATCAAAGAATTGAATCGACAACAAGGGAAACTCTTACCGGATCTCGAAAAGGAGATAGTTAGAATGTCATTGCTCCTGGAGAATACTAAATTAGTTATCAAAGATCTCATGGTTTGGAAGGAAACGATTGTGAGTAGCTACTTTCTGGAATTTTCTGACTAGTTTCTACAATAAATAGCTTCCTTTGTACAGATAATACTTATATCATCACCATTTTTAGGAAAAAGAAATAGCTCACTTCAAATCATGGAAAACGGCTGCTACATTGCAAATGAACGAATTAGTCAGACAAAATAATATGCTCAGGTTAGATCAAAGACTTCTCCTAATACATCAGATTTATGTATCCATTTTTCTTTTTCAATAAATTAGCTGCATGTGTTTAGTTAGTAACTTAGTGCTATGAGTTTTACGTTGGCCAGACTCCAAAAATAGCAAAACGCAAATACCTTATTTTTCTAGACCTACAAGACGAATATAGAGATAGTTTTTCGTTGGCATGGCAGTCATTGAATTAGTGATTTCCTCTGGCAAAGGAGGAATTTWTGCTGCGTTTTCTTCAACTCCACTATAATCTTGGTCATACCGTCAGGGTTGGTCGTAAATTTAAAGCAGTCCTAGGAAGGACTGTTAATCAATAGTCATATTTTAGCTGGAGGATCTAGAAACTGCTACAATATGCAGTATCAAACTCATTTATCTGGAAGTTTCATTCTGTAATCTAGTTCCTTCATCCTTCTGATTATTTAAGGTAGTTATTAAAATAAAGAATGTTGCTTCCCTAGACTGAATATAGACCATTTTTACCATGGTAATTCTTTTGTAATATTGTTCAGGTTTTAAAAATGTTAGTTGTTATATGAAGTTTTCGACCTTTAGTTGTTATATGAAGTTTTCGACCTAAGCTTGTACATCAAGTTTGGTCCAAATTGAGCCATTTGCCAACCTCCATTTTCGACGCCCCACCCCAACAAAGACTCTGGGGTTTCCATAATACAATATAAGTAGCGTTTTGAAAGGATTGTGAGATGAGTTCATGAGTTTGTGATTAATTTGAACTTATTTACCTGAATGTTCATTTTGGCATATAAACATATATATACTTTTCTTTTTAAGACAACGTTTTGATATTCAGCTCCCAACTCTCTTTTAACAGCTTAGATATTGAAAAAATTTCAAGCAACCAGGCCAAGCTGGAAAGTAAAGAACTTGCCGTGCTGGCTGTGAGCGTCCTTTTCATGTGCATTGCAACTCTGAGGCTACTATCAGCTAAAATTCTCATGTTTCTTGGAGACTGTCAATCCGATAAGACGTGCTCGACAAGTAGGGGTTGGGTATGGATACTTGTAAGCAGCACGATGACGGTAATCCTTGCTTTCATGTATAGTTAGCAACTGTGATTTCCTTTTTGTAGTTCTAGTTGGACGTGTTTCACCTTCTATAGGCAAAAAGAAAACAGAGGAGAAGTCACATGTACCAGGATTGAACCCAAAAGATTAAAAAAATGAAATGGGTCCCTGGGGATGGAGAAAAATGAGGTAACTGGAACCTCTTCCACTTTAACCATAATGCCATTTACTCTGATCTATTCTTCAAACAGCTAATTTTAGGTCATATCATATGAAGCCATATTGGCTCAGACAAGTATTATGAGCTTAGGGTTTTTATTAATTTTTTTTTTCCTCTTTTGTCAAGAATATATGTCTTAATGAGTTGAATCATGTTTAGATTTTTAGTAATAATTTAAGTACTTGTCCTTTGAACTTCTTGAGAATAATACTATAACCGTAACGTTTAATAAAGTCGCAATGATTTAAAATCTTACCTGATGACGTTATGAAGTTGTAATTTGTTGCTCCATCTATAAGAACACAAATGGTGAAGACTTCCTTATCCCTTCCAAAGCTTAAATCTCAATTAAATTTCTGGTTCGTTCACTGTGGATAGTTTTTATAGATATGCTGAAAGTGGCTTTTGATTAATCATATATAGTTTTCAAGTTTATCATGCTTTTCTTTGGGTAGATATATATATTCTTTTTTATTTACAAAAACAATAAAAGTACGTTTGAAAATAACTGAAAGTTAAAAAAGGTATATTCGAAAAGATATGTTTGAGCTCAAGTACATCTCTAGATTATGAATTGTTGATAGGATGTTGATGTAATAAATTTCATTGGATAAAATTTTGGATGAAGAGACATATTCTAGTAATGGTGGGATAAGAAATTTAGGAAATAAATTTGGCAAATTCAATAGGGATAAAATTAATCTATTTCAGTTATATATGATTAAGAAATTGAGGAAATCAATTTGGCAAATCCTACTTCTGGTCATTTATTTCTAATTCGTCAAACTAGTTGATTACGTTTACGCATCTAAATTTTATCTACTTGAGTGTTGCATTACTATTAAATTTTATCCAATTGAGTATCATATCACATAATTCATAGTTAAAAAAGCACAGTTGAAATATTGGTTGAATTACAGATTTATCTCTATGACTCAACTAAACCTTACAAATGATCATTAAACAGTAATTGAAAATTTATTATTTTTCTTTTATTTCTTACATAGACATAAACTATACTGAACATAGCGAACCAAATAGTTAGTATAAGTTCATTATCAAATAAATAATAATTAAAAGAAACATATAACTAATATAATAATTGCCGAAACGATAAAAACTAAATGGAAAATTAAACCTTCGAAAATATATCAAACAGAAATTATTATAATTCCACGATGACTTTCTTTTAGGCCACTAATTGGCAGATGGGCCAACTTCGGCAGCCACCCACCAAAAATCCCAAAATTTATATATATATATATCTCTCCCAAAATCTCAAAGTTTCAACGTGGCGAAAAACCACTTGATCCACGTGTCCACCCGCACACCACTTCTCATCCTGAGGCGCCGTACAGAATCACACAAAATTTCGAATTCCGATAAGCCCCATTCTTTGTTCCAGCCACAAAAATTGAATTAAAATCCCCCTTCGCAGAAAATTAAAATCAGACATCTTCATTCTTTTTTATAAACTCAAAAATCTCCCACCGGAAAAAAATTAAATCGAAATCTACCATGGGCTGCTCCGCTTCGAAGCGAATTGAGGCCGCCGTCGACGTCTACCGGCCGGCGCCGACGAGCTTCGCCGTGTTCGACATCAACTCGATCGACGAGCCGTGGGTGAAGGTCGTGGAGGATCCGGCGCCGGCGCCGGCGCCGGAGAAGGAGGAGAAAGCCACCCACGGCCACGTTCCGGCTCCAATTCTGGAGAAGCTGAGCAGTTTCGAATCCGACGCTCCTCACTCGTGGGATGAGGTCAGTAAGGCCCTTGAAGACCTCAAGCCCGCTCTCCGACGACAACTCGATCCTCCTCCCAACTCCGCTGCTCCCGAACCAGGTATATACTAAATTCTTACCAATTTTAAATTATAAAAATTAAATTATAATAGTTTAAGTAATTTGAGTGTATATATACTAAATCCGTATAATCCCTAGTTAAAAAATTATATCCTTACTTCAATTGACTAGAACTATTTTTTAATCAAATTTGTATATAATCTCTTATCGAAAAATACTTATTTGAGGATTAATTTTGTGTTCACCCTCGTTTAATATTTGATAATTAAAAATAAAGACGAAAAAGTAGAGATTTTTTTAAATAATAAGTCATCAATTTTTAATGACGAAAATTGATGACGGCACACAGTTTTTTTTTTTCTATTTATGGAATTGATATGTATCCTAGAGTTAATCAATATTTCTATTATAAATAAAATATCAAACGAAAATATTTGTATATTCCGATGAGTAGAAGTTTTTTATTGACATAATATGATGTATTAAATTTTTTAGACTAAGTCTATATTTTTATCTTTCAACATTTCATGAATTTGAAATCTAACATAAAAGGAGTTAAATGGAAAATTTCATTTTAGCATCAAGAAATATGAAAAATGTCAACTAAATAAGAATGAAATGCTTATTAAATATATATTTTTTTAATGAAACTTCTTATTTTTATAATTTTATTTAAAAATATTCATCCACTTTTTATAACTCTCATCTATAAATTGAGACCTTGCTCCTCACTCAGTTGCAGAACCAGCGCCGGCGAAGGCCGCCGCCACCGCCGCCGTTGGCAAACAACCGCCACGTAAGAGTTCCAGCTTTCACACCGTCGCAGAGCTCGACGCCAAGTTGTCATCCGGCAAGCCCACCGCAGAGTCGAAGCTTTCCGGGTTTAGAAAAGCCGAGTCATTCAGAACAGGACCGGTCAAACCTGAGCCAAAAACCAGCAATTCGGACCGGTTCAAGTCGGTGAAAGAGAACATATTCCTGATTAGAGACAGAGAGGAGCGAGAAAAGGAAGGGCAGAAGCCGGTTCGGTTCGACCCGCTGAGCGAGTTCCCGGAGAAGTGCCCGCCGGGAGGGGCGGAGGCAGTGGTGCTGTATACGACGTCGTTGAGAGGGGTGAGGCGGACGTTCGAGGACTGTAACAGGGTGAAGTCAGTGCTCGAAGGGCACTGCGTGGCGGTGGACGAGCGTGACGTGGCGTTGCACGGCGAGTTTTTGAAGGAACTCAAAGAACTTGTCGGGGACGAGGCAGCCGTCCCAAGAATGTTCGTAAAGGGAAGGTATGGTTGACTCATCATTAAACTTCTACGAATAAATAAAGAAAAATTACTTTTTTATTAAATTATAAACTTGGTGTATTTAAATTTTAAGTAGTATCATAATTGAATAAGTTAGAGATTTAATTGAACTTCCAGGTTTAGTTTCAATTATACTTCTTGCAGTTCAAAAGAATATAAGATGGAGATCAAATTTATAATTCAGGAACTATTATACATCATCCTCAAAATTCAGAGTAATTTGACATTTCGTCCTCGCTTATGAACAAAGTCTAACAAGTGATTTGAAATATTAATTAAAATAGAGATGATGTTGAAGAGTTGGAATATGACCTACTCTTTTACATTCTATTAAATTACGGCTAAACTCAAAAGTTAATATATTACTGTAAATTTAATTTATCCTGAATAGGTACGTCGGAGGGGCGGAGGAGGTGGTGGCATTGAACGAGGT